ATACCAATTATTGAATAAAGACTTTTAATATATGATTTATTCTCTTTTCCGATAATTTATGTATCTTTTCTTATATATCTCACGCTTTATTTTCCATGCATTTTTCGTTTCTTTTAAATTCTCTTACTTAATTAAACTCATTCAACTTAAATTTAAACTTTGATACATTATCTTATATTGATGGAAATGAAAACTATATTTTAATTTAAATAATTTTTCCATAAATTTATTTTAAAATTTTAATCTATTTCTCTTTAATAATTTTTTTATTAAGAAATTTATTTTAAATACGCAATTTTATCATTATTTAGTAATAGTAACAATATATTTTTGAACAATACGTATTCATATTTTTATTTAAAATTTAAAAAATGGCACAGAATATACGAAGACTTTTCTTTTTAGGGAGAATCTACGAAGACTTACTAATTATAATTATGATAGTAATTAACGCATAAATATATCCATTGAAGTGGCTTAGGACACCAACCCTTTGCAAAGCCTTAAATTGCGCATTGAGTCGGCATTCGCGTAACCTTTTGCAAATATATATATATATATATAATTTATTTATTTATAATACACAATACACAACTAGTGGTGTCCTTTCGATCAAACCTTGCCCACCCACACCTGACCTCAACACACTCATGCCAGTTTTTGCTGTCATTACTCATCACTCATACCCCATACATTATTTACATTTTTTACTGTTTCATCCTCCTCTATCATAATCACAACCAAGGACAATTGTTCCATAAAGACAGCCAAATTAATTACCCCACTTATTAATTATTTCAATAAACCAATGACTTGAAGCTCAAATCATGATCTTAATTATTATTGGCTAAAGTTTGGTCACCAACTTACAATTACAAACAACGCCAATAAAAACCAAGTGTCGTATTACGAGTCTATGGAGGTACCCTTCAGCTCTGGTACAAACTGGCAATTCATCAGATAAGAGCCTTCTGAATTATTAGAGACATGAAAATGACGTGACAGATAATGAAAATTGAAAAAAAGCCGATTCAACATTGCTATATATATATATATATATATATATATATATATGCCATGCCCTTCAATGCCTTCGCTTTCCCCCTTTCTAATTAACTTCGCAAAACTCGTGTTTAAATTAATTAATCATTATTCCGCCTATAAATCATCATTAACCCTACAAATAAGATCGATGAATTCATAAGGGTTAATTACAACAAGGCTTTAGCTTAATTATTTGCTCGCGAAAGCTTTCTGTAAGTATATATGTTTATAGAAGGTTGACATAATTAAGGTGTATGGGTATTATATATATCTGCCATTAGTATTTTTTTCGGAATAAATTCTGTTATATATATCCATTAGTTGTTTAGGAATAAAATTTAAGAAGGGATCGATCGAAGATTAGATAAAGTAGAGACCAAGTCTCGATTGAATTCTCTTACGGATGCAGCAGAACCATTAGATCAGAAGCAACTGCTACGAACTAACACGGGGATTTATGGTTAACTTATAAAATGAAGTTAAATCTTCAATTCCATGAAAGAATTATAGCGAATCTGTTAAGAGAAAAAAACGAGTTAATTAATAATGAAAGTAGAAATTAAAAGTATAAATCAGCGGAGTGAAAATTAATGATATCTTACGGATCGACTCCCAAACACACAAGTTTTACCGCAAAATAACTAATCAAGGACTCGTAGTTTTTTGTAAATATTGTATTAGGTAATTAAAATGATATAATGTATTGATTCAATAAGTTGTGTAAAATCTTTATTGGATTTGCAAATAATAATATTCTCTCTGTATATTAAACTGCATTAGCATATATGCATTACGCGCGAAATGATACAAAGAAGAGCCATCGTGTCAAACATCTCTTCAGCTATATATAATAATTTTTGGGAGAGTCCCTGCACAGTTCATACTTCATACTGGAAAATTGTTCCATCAGAAATCCCGTACCTCCACAGATCTAACTAGCAACAAATTACCATTAACTATTTTCATCAGTGAAATATATATAAATGATGATTAAGCTTGAGTTTTTATTTTTTAATTAAGTTATATAATAAATTAATAAAAATGCATGCGCACATGCAAGTAAATGAATTAGAGATGTACCTTTCTTAGCATGTAATATGCGGATTACCTAACAGTAAGTGCCTTAGATAGCCCAGAATATGTGGATCTGAGTTATATATACATGGCAAAGTTCTAAGAACGATAATAATATTCCATGAAGAACAACTTTTTTCATATATAAAGGTTAGTGAGATATGACTAAACTAGCTTGTATTAAATAATTTGGGCCATATATATATGATTGGGATGTTTAAATGAGAATCATCCGATGCAAAGACGTACAGATTAAAGATGGTCAAGGAAAGCATTAGATTCCACATTTTCACTAAATATAAATTTTATGAAGGAAAAAATTAAATGAAACTTTTGGGTTATATAGATGGATCGTTTTATTTGGGTAAAATAAGATGACGGTACGTGGGGTGGGTGTGAAGGGTTTTGGACAAGTGTGATTTTTTGTACAGCTTTCTTTAATTTTATTGGGTTTCATTTCATATGATCACATGGGTCATGCAGACACTTCCCTATACTTAACATTATTTATTTATTGGTATATACACATATATACATGCATGGTGGCACATAGGGCCCTCCCCCCCAATATTAGAAGGTCAAGCTATCCCTACCACATACATATATATATATATATATGTATAAACCACTTCCGTCATATATATTTAACTTCGCGAAAATTCGACACATATCCATGTCGACGTTGTATACACTGAATCCTGAACAAACACATATACACGAAAGGTTGAAAATGCAAGATATATACATTATTCTAGTTTTAACCAGATAGAAGAGATTCTTGAGTTTCTTCTAATAAAATTACTAATTACGTACCCAGCTGGAAAAACTTTTGATTATTGAGTTCAATGAGGTGTAATTTCTCTCTCTCTAGAAAGAAACTATTTTTAGTGCTGAGTTTCTTAGTTTTTAATTGGCCATTTTGAAGCAGATAAAAGTAATTGAGATGAACATATTTATTTGTACACGTATAACTGTTTATACATTAATAAGCTTTAATTTCGCTATAAATTAACATGGGTTTATTCCTTATCTCCTAGCAAAACAATGGTCATTGCAAGAAAACTTTCGGATGAAGTAAAGTCCACGTATATAAGTGGCAAATACCTTTTTTTCTTATTGCATAAAACAGGAGCTTACTTATTAATGGTAATCTAGACTTCGTTCTAGGCGTTTCTATAGGAAATATTGTTCTCTATTCAACCTATATTAATGAAACCTGAAAAGAAAAGTGAGACGTATATAGATGGAATTGGCCGAAATTCGGAAACATTACTTTTATTTGGAGTTTGATAGTTTCTATCATTTTTAACTCTTCTACATGTCATTTCAAGAATCAAAACTAAACTAAAACCAAAAGTACTGGAATTTCTTTAGTGTGATTTAGTGGGAATAATAATAATAATTTTGTATTTTTTAAACCACAGTTAATGAATATTAAAATTATCTTACCCGCATCTTAACTGATTAATTATTCTTGTTCCATAAAGGCAAAATATTCACGTTCAAGCTATAAAAAAATATAAGGATCGATGTTTCTAACAACTTTACCATATATAATTGATACAATTAAAATTTATATTAATTATGACCAAATATATTAACTAATCGTCCACCGTTAGTTAAACTAAGTTCCCTTGTTTTTGGGTTGCTAGGTGTATTAAACGACATGATGCGATATTAAATGTAGGCGTTTTTATTAAGTGAATTTAAGTCGTAATTAATTACTATGTGGAAGACTAATTTTTTTTTCCCACTAACCCTAACTCAAGTAGTATAAAATTAATTTCTCCTTTTGTAATTATTCACTTATTTATTATCTATGCAATGATCATCTTACATTAAAAAAATTCTCTTGTCACGGTTATTTTTATAAATAAGTTCGAAACGTGTTACTATGTATTTTAAGAACAATATCGTGTACCCATCATAAATTGCATTTAGTAAAAGCCAAAAACTCAAATTTCTTCACATTTGAGAATGTAATTCTTTTAATCAGAAAGCCAAACTCTAACGTTACATCTACCAACACCACTACTGGTTTGGGACAGGGAAGAGATGGTGTCTGCAGCAAAATGTTTAGGGTTAAAACGCTCCGTTATTTCTTAAATTAAAAAAAAAAAAAAACTTAGGGTTTCAAATAAAGTCTCAGTCCGAACCTAAATCCACGCTCCCATAGGGGCAGTGCATAACACGGACCAATGAGAAACATTTAATGTGCAAAGGGCATGAGCAGCACTTTTAACCTTGGATGACACGACAGGCACAAATTAATAAATGAAAACGCTGAAAAAGGGAGAGCGTGAAGTTCACGCGCGAGTACTGTACCCACTTTTTTTTTTCACCCTTCCGCCTAGGGTTTCCTCGCCGTCCACAAAGCCCATTATAAATGGTTAGCGATAAGAGCCGCACAATCTCGCCACGTGGTTGTATTTCATTGGGTCACCCTTTCTCTCTCCTAACACTCTCTCTCTACATCTACAATTTCTATGCATATGGATCCTACATAGACATGACTCGCTACGGGTTTTTTTAATATACAAAACAAACACACCTTCTTCCAAGGACAAGAAGATAAAAATTCTCTCTCTCTCTCTTCTCTTTCATATATTCTCACACTCTCTCTCATCCGAAAGAATCGAAAGCCCTCTCTCTCTCTAGGGTTTCTGCGTCTTTCGCAGTCAAATTATGTTCGCGCAGTAGCGAATCGCTGCTCCGAGCTGAGCCACGTGGCCTCTCCGTCGAATGCGCTGTCCTTGGATGTGGTTTCGTTGCGGAGCCGTTGAGAATCGGCGAGGAGGTGGGAGAGATCGTGTGCGGTGGACCGCAGGTGAGTTCGGTGGGCCTTCATCTCTAGATTATTCTTTTTCGCCCACGGTTTTCAACTCAGTGATTGATTCCGTGTTGATCGGGGACCGGTTCTTGGACGCTCTTGAGCGTGTTTTGATTTGTTTTAGATATTAAGGTCACTGTACTGTTTATGGTGTGTCCACTTCAGCTTTTGCTTTGCGTTTCTTTTTTTTTTTTTTTCTGCGTCTCGCTTTATTGCTGCCATTTCACGCTTTTTTATTTTAATTTTTTTTTCTCTCTCGTTTTCTTTGCTCGTTAATTCGAGCTGCGTTAATTTTCTTCCATCTCTTGATAAGAGGTGGATTTATGTAGGTCGGTGAACCCTAGAATTTAGGCTTCGTGGATTCTTGCGCTTCGTTTCCTTGTCTGGTAACAGCTCCTTGCATGCGTTTATGATGTGCGTTTTTTTTTCCAGCCTCGCGTTTAATTTTTATACAGAGGTAGTATTTTCGCTGCAGCGTTACTAGTTGCGCCTCGGATTTTCAAAAGCCCTAGCGATATGCTTGGTCTTGTTAGGTGTGCGTGAACGTTTCGATTTGTGAAGTAATTGTATGCGTGGGGTCGCTTCTTTTTTGTGTTGTTGCGTTTCAAATGTTCAATTGTTGACTTCGAGCATCGTTGTGGTTGGTTTTTTTGGATGGAAACTAGGGTTTAGGAGCTTCCGTAATGTTGGAGGTCGTTATTTTATGTGATTAATCACTGTGTATGAAGTTCTTGTTGGCTCTATGTTACTTATCTTATACTTTGCCCTTGCTTTCCTTGTTTTTCCTTTTTATTTGTGAGCTCATTTGCATAAACCCTAAGTTTATACAAAGCTTGATTAAGATATGTTTCTAGCTTTTCCTTACATTTCTAGTGTTACTATCGTTTGATTAATAATAGCTTGACTTAATTGTTTGATCCTTTGTTTCCATTTCAAGTTTTAATTTGACTTCAATTTGTGTGGATCGTAAACACTTCATTTAATTTGTGCTTCAATAGCTGGTTGCTTGTACTGTGAGGATATGCATGCATAGCTGTGGAAGATCATTTGCAAGGTGGTTTTAATACTGTCACTGAGTTCATGGGATCGTACATTCACATTGACTCGATCTCTATAGATCTTGCCGATTCTATTGGCAAGAGAGATGCAGGCAAATGTGAACATTTCTCAATACGGTACGTGGATCTTGATGCTACATATATTCTTACTGTCTTACTAATTTTGTAAGAGATGGAAGAGAGGCCGGGAGTATATTTGTGTGTTATACAGTTCATTTCTGCCTTCCACTTAGTGTATGGTATCTTGTAATTGATGTCTACAGTTGACCACATCTTGTTCATATTAGATGATGAGATCCTAAATGCCTAATATACTTTTGTTCACTATAGTACGATAGTACTGCCATATATAGATGATTACAAGTTTACAACTACAAGAAGTTTAAAGTTGAAAGCCAATCAATTTATGCATGACAATTAGGTCTCATGGAGAATCAAATGGGTGGTGATGCCTAACTACAGAAAATTTAGGATATTTCAGAATTTTGTCAATAAGTGTTCAGTTTTGTTGTTGATTTAGGGATATATCAAAGTTCAAAACTCAGATGTAATTCCTTAGCTACTTTTGGTATTGTTTTCTAATCAAAATTGAAGTTTTAGCTAGGTAACCTATGTAGGTCTTTAATACAAACCTTTATTAAGCAAATTATTGAGGTAAACTCGAATTCTGGTTGGTGAACAACATAAAAACATGTAAGGAACTTCATATAAATTTTTCATATTATATCAACTCTTTCTTCTACCAGAGAAAAAAAAAACTGAAGATTAGATTTATCTTTTTAATGTAGAATCAAAAAACTATCTCTTGGACTTGGTTCCCTTTCAATATCCTTAACACTCGTAACTTATTGTTAGTGCAGTGGATACGTGTCTGAAATTCGCAAAAAAGACTGGAAAATTTGTTGGCCATTTCCAGTACACGAGTCTGACAAACAATCATCCCTTCTGCCATTAGATGTTCCAAAATATAGTTGTCAACGTTGTCACAAGTCTCCACAAGAAACTGCTGCCAAGGACATCCAGAAAGACGACCAAACAGACTTTGGATGTTACAGTACTGGATGCAGATCTGGTAGCAATGCAGCTCCCAAGTCTGATGTTCTGCAAGATGCAATGCTTGACAATCTTGAGAGAAGAGAAATTGATCTTAATACTACTCTGAGCTGTGTCAATGATTACTTACCAACTAGTAATGAGAAGAAAGCTGGAGTTGTACCTAGCAGAATAATTGGTAACTTAAATATGAGTTCTATATATCTTCTTTATTATTTTTCAGTATGTGGTTTGATTTTCTGTGTTTCCCCCAGACCTTGAGATTGGCTTGGAGGATAATCTCAATCACCTAGTAGCTAGTGTTCCATCACCTAAAATTTATCCAGACCTTGCACCGGAAGTGCACACTACTAAAAGAGGTAGGTTCAACTGAATAGGTCATAATACAGTCAAGTCAAGCAGAACTACTCTTATTCTTTCGTATTACTTAAGTGACTGCTCTGTGTATATTGTTACAGTATGTTCTTCATTACAAAGGCTGCAATTTACATAAAAGCTTTTTTTCTTCATACAGGCTGTGAAAGTAATGAGGTTTCTTATCCTGACCATGCTAGCAATCTGAAATGCATGGAGAAGAGTTCTGCTGAGATGTGTAATGGAGGAACACCAGCAGATAACCAATGCCAGAAAGATTTCATAAAAGCTTGCACAGTTTTGGGTAAAGGAACAACAGTAATGGAGGTCGGAAATACATATGATCAGACAATTGGACCTCCTCTTGAATCAGTTGCTTGTAATCATGCTGTACCTGCAGGAAGTATGGACAATACAACTGAAAATGATTCTCAGGATCATCATTCAGAAAAGTCCACTGGTTTGTCTCGTAGGAGACCTCGGAAGGTGCGCTTGATGGCTGATTTATTAAGTGACAATGGTGAATCAAAGACTGAGCAAAGCTCTATACAAGAATCTGTATCCCATGGTACTTCCAATGCCTCTGCAGCTCCACAGGCACACCCAACTTTGCCAGGAAATTTTGATATTCAAGGAGGTTTGACTTTGACAAGCACAGGTCCAAGTAGAAAAAGGAAGTTTCCTCTGGATGAGGTACGGAGAACTGCAAGCATGTGTTTTCAGGGAGCCGAAAATGAAGTTCAGAACTCAGAGGGAGATGCAAAAAAAACAGATACTGTTTTGGATACTAGATCCCATTCCAAAGATGTACCTGCTGGATCAGGTTTACAAGATGCCACAAAGGGCCACTGGAGTAAATCCGAAACTGATAGAAGTCATATCATGATGGGTAAGAAGAAGAACAAAAAGATTCATGTAGATAATTGCTCGATTCCTGTGCAACCAAAAGGACAACAAAGAGAAAATGAAGACACCACGGATACTACAGACAAGGCATATGCATCTAAAACATATTCTTCTAGATTAACTCCTCGTGCATTTGAAGGGAAAGGGATGGATAATTTTCCCCACCACACCCTAAGAATAGAAAATGAGTTCAATTTGTCCAAAGGAAAGGGGAAAATGCTGCAAACTGAGGCAGAGATGGATTCTTTATTATGGCAGAAAAATAACACGGTTCTACAAGATTCCTGTGCATATTCAGGGGAAAAAGCTAGGTCTAGTATGCCGATAACAAATCCAATTCCTTCAGTCCAAGGGGTGCTAAATGGAAAAGGACCAGAAAAAGGACTGCATCTTTCTATAAACAATTTATTGGTGGAAGCTCATGTTTACAACAACAAAAAATGTATCCATCAAATTGAAAATCACCTACCTTTTAAAATGCCTTTTCAAGATGGAACATCAAAAGTACCGCAGCTTAATTGGAAAGACAGTGATACCAATGTTTTTGGAGGGCAAAACATTCCTTCCAAACACCCAACAAATGCTCTTTCTGGAAAAGGAGTTCATTGTGAAGTAAGTAGCCTCAAAAATCCCCTTAGAATGTTTTTTTTTAATTAGAAGAATAGGTATACCACTCGGGATAAATACAGGATTCATTTCTATGATTAAAAAATGGTACTTCCTCCGATCCTTTTTATAAGAAACAAGTTATCGTTATCACTTGTTTATTATTAGAAGGACTGGAGTTAGTATTTATGTTTTTCACCTAATTTTGTAAGCATTGATCAAATCTTGGTATTTTAATTGATATTGTTCTTCTATTGACTTTTTTTGTGAACCATTTTGATTTCTTTAACCAAGTTTCTACTTTCTGAGAATATCAAATTTTTTTTTTCTTTTTGCAGGAAATTCATGGTGCAAGAAACACACAAAAAACTATTGAAGCTGTGGACCAACTAGGTTTTATGAAAAGATACAGTGAACAAACAGTGGAGGTGTCTGAGCAGGGAACACTGGACGATATTCCCATGGAAATTGTGGAACTCTTGGCAAAGAATCAATATGAGAGGTGTCTTCCTGATGTAGAAAATAGAAGCGCCACATTAGAAAAGTCCACTCTTGGAAGGAAAGCACCGATGACAGGTGGCTCTACTGTACACGGAAAAGGGGAGATGAGCTTGTTAAAAGAGGACCAAAAGGAGAAACCTCAGGGAAGACCCAAGAAAAACAACACGGTCTCAAGAGGAGAGAATGTGAAGCTTAGCAAAAGAAAACCAGTTCATTACTTTTCTCCATTAAATGGAAACAATTTGGGCATGAATAATCTATGTCCACCTCAATCCCCCTTTGGGTTTGAAGTTTCCCAGTCCCAAAAGAAGCCATCAAGTGGATTCCAGTTTTCACCTGTGGGTTCTAGTCATCTTGGTAGTGCTCGAAATTGCAGGTTGAACGGGAGTTTTGAAGAGCGTGGATCCCCTAATGCTACTTTTCAAGCCCCAGGAGGATGTAGCTTACACAAGAATATCTTACATCAGGATGATGAAGCTTCTCGCATCTGGGCATCCTTGACCACAAATCATGTTTCCCTAGGATATGATTTACCCAAAAAGGCTGTTTCTTCTCAGCTTCCAATTAGTAACATAGACATAGCATCACTCCAATCTGGTGCATTTCATAAGCAAAACATGAAGAGGGATATTGATCTTAACTACATGAATCTGAATGCTGCTGGACTAGAAAAGCTTAGTAGGAATACAGGTCCAGAAACCTTCAGCAGGAT